CTTTCCCTGTCTCTCTTTGGCAAGTGCATACGTCCTATAGTAAAAACTTTTTTTTTATAGGTTTTTGCTATAGGTCACATGTGCTTGCCAGAAAGACAGAGACAGAGAGACAGAAAGTGAGAAATCACCCCCCAGGGGAGATGGCCACGCCGCAATCCTGTCTCCATTCTCCTCTCGGGATCTTGGGCACGCACACACATGCGCCCGGAGTGAGTTTAAGCCACTGGGTCTGGGACTCAAACCATGGTTAACTACATGGGAGTTCAGCGACACAACCTTATGCTAACTGCTGGTCTGGTAAAAACAGGTTTTTTTTTTTTGAGAGGTTTTTGCTATAGGGCACAAGTGCTCTCCAGAAAGACAGAGAGAGACATAGAGACAGGAAGTGAGAAATCACCCCCGGGGGTGGGGTGGGGGATGGCCACGCTGCAATCCCTTCTCCCTTCTCCTCTTGGGCACACACGCACATGCAGCCGGCATGAGTTTAAGCCACCGGGTCCGGGACTCAAACCACGGTGGACTATATGGGAGTCCAGTGACATAGCCATTATGCCAACTGCTGGTCCCAGTAAAAACAATTTTAAAAAGAAACAAAAATATCCAAATATATTTCTATCTGCCTACATATTTAAACTCCTTAAGAGGCAGAACTGGTGGTGGCTGACAGATGACATGGTGGTTGAGGTGTTGGACTCCCACATGGCCGACCATGGTTCAGGTCCTGGACCCAAAGCTTGCTTTCTCACTTTCCCTCTCTCTGTCCCTCTCTGGTCAAATTAAAAATATATAATAATAATAAGTAAGGTTAAATAAAGAATTCTTTTAAAAAAATAAAGAGGAAGAACTAAGGGCCAGCAGGTGGTATGCTGGTTAAGGTGCTGGACTCCCACGTGCCCGACCACTGTTTGACCAAGCTCCCAGACCTGGCAGCTTGAAAATCATGCTGGGTACATATGTGTGTGAGCCTAAAATCCCAGGAGGAGAAAAGAGCAGAAGGGATTGCAGCGTGGCCATCCACTCTGGGGGGTGATTTCTCACATTCCCTCTCACTCTCTCTCTTCAAGGAGCACACATGCCCTATGGCAAAAAAACAAAATAAAAATAAGAAGAGGAACTGAGTTTTCATTCACAATGTTTTCATGACCCAACAGACTGTCAGTGAACATTGATTGAATGAATCAATCAATCAATGCCTCGAACCAGTTATTAAATAGTCTCAGCAAACCTTTGAGGATTACTCAGTAGTTATTTTAAAATAAGGACTAATTTGAAGTAAAAGTTCCACGTCAGTCTAAGCAATCAGAAGAACAGAGCTTCTGGACCAACACAACTTATATCTGGTCCAAAGCCTTGTACTGGAAGAATCTCAGACCAATACCACAGAGGCAAGGGATGATAGTTCAACCTGCACACGATGCAGGAGAGCCTTTATGAGAAAACCTGAAGCCATATGTGCTGGCCTTGCACTTTGATTTTACTTCAGTGGCACATATTTATCAGAGCAAAGAAGACTGGTTTAAACTGCTTGACTAGAACATTATTAGTGTATGTCTACCTTGCACTCTATAATGTGAAGAGAACATGTCCATGGAATTTATATATTGGGTCATCAGGAAAGTCATGATACATTTTTTAAAAATAATTCTTCTATTTAATGTTATATATTCAGTCATTTATTTTAATTTGACCAGAGAGAGACAAAGAGAGAGAGAGAGAGAGAGAGAGAGAGGGAAAGCAAGCCACGAGGTCCAGGACTCAGGTCCTGGACCCAAAGCTTGGTCCAGGACTCGAACTATGGTCAGCCATGTGGGAGTGTCCAGCACCCTTAACCACTATGCCACCTGCTGGTCCCCAGTCATGATGCATTTTTGCTTAGAAAAACAGAAAAACACATCATGACTTTCCCAATGATCTAATATTTGTATAGAATTAGAAAATAAAACTCAGTATTACATTTTTTTCCAGAAAAAATTTTGCTATAGGGTGTGTGCAATTGCCAGAGAGACAGAGACAGAAAGCAAGAAATCAACCACCCCCTAGTGGGATGGCCATGCCACAATCCCTTCTCCTCCATTTGCCTCTCAGGATTTCAGGCATGCACACACACAAGCCTGGTGTGAGTTTTAAGTTGCCAGTCTGCAACTGGAACCACGGTTGACCATGTGAGAGTCCACGGTTGACCATGTGAGAGTCCAACAATGTAACCATTCCACCATCTGCTGGTCCCACTCAGTATTACTTTTAAAATTAATACTGGTTAAACAGCATTGCTATAGTTAATAAGGTAGTGAAAATGCAGAATGAATTGTACAGTAATAATAAGTCTTACTGGGACCAGCAGGTGGCATGGTGGTTAAGATGCTGGACATTCCCACATGGCCGACCACGGTTCAGTCCTGGACCTGGTAGCTTGGTTTCTTACTTTTTCTCTCTCTCTGTCTCTTTCTGGTCAAATTAAAATAAATGAATGAATAAATAAAATTAAAAATAAATAATTATAAAAAATAGTCTTACTGTTTATTTCCAATATAGCCTTTTGTGATTTTACAGTTAAACTATCCTGCTGTTTTAAATTGAGAGATTTAATTTCGACTCTAAGACTCCTCATTTTAATATTCTGAAGATATTAATTTATCATTGAATGTTTTAATCTTATTTAACCAAGTGGGTAAGAGTGTAGACTCTAGAGTTAGACTGCTGAGGTCCTAATCCCAGCTCCTTAATTATTAACTGTGTGACCCTGGCTTAGGGCCCCATTCCCTCTCTCCCTTGATTTTTCTCATCTGTAAAATAGGCATAATAATCATCTCAACTTCCATGATGATTGTGTTACATGAATTAATACTTGTAAAACTCTTACAACAGTACTCAGCACATTTTAAGTGTTAAGAACTTAAAAACCCTTCACATGTTTTTTCCACTATTGTAGGACAAAAAATGAAAGGCAAGCCACCTGTAGCCTGGTGGTTAAAGGAGCCAATCCCACAAAACTGCTAGGTTGGAGTCCCAGCCTTTTGGCTTTAAACACACACCAGGCATGTGTGCCTGCATACCCAAAATCCCAACAGGATGGAGAGATGGAGGAGGGATTGCAGCTTGACCATGCCCTACTGGGAGATGCTTTCTCCCTCTTCCTTTCCTCTCTCTGGCCAGCACACACAGTCAAGGATTTTTAAAAAAAAAATAGTGAAAGGAAAAAAAGTCAGCTCTGTGCCATTCTTGGAAGCTTCCAATGAAACTAGAATCCTACAGTACCGGCTCCAAGAGTTGTGTGTGCTCATTCATTCAGTAATTTGAGGGCCTACCAGGTGCAGGTGCTGACCATGAATAAGATGTCCCTCAAAGGGCTTATGGTGAGGTTAGAGGGAATTCTATAACTCACTTTTTTACAGATGTGAAAACTGAGATCCTGAGCTGTGCCTTGCTCAAGGTCACTCTGCTAAATAGCAGCAGATGTGACACTAGAGTTAGGCCTTCCTACAGCTCTCAGTTTGGGACTCTACCCACCCTCTTGAGTGTTGCAGCTCCCCTTCCATCTTAAAAGCTCTACCTTGCTTTCATGCCCTTTCCTGCTTTGCACCCACCACTACTCCCTCCTAAACCTGCAACCTAGGTTTAAGAAAACAGAAAGACCGACAGGCGGCTTGGTGGTTAAAGGCGCTGGACTCCCAATGACCCATATGGTTTAGGTCCCAGATCCGGTGGCTAGCTCTCTCTCTGGTCAAAATTGAAAAATAATGATAATAAATAAAGAATTCCTTAAAAAATTTTTTTTTCTAAAGAAAATGGTGAGTCTTGAATACAAAAGTCCCACGCTGGGCACTTTTAAACCTTCCTTTACAAGAAAATTGAAGGTTATTCTTTCCTCCCTACTTTAACCCTTCCCATGCCAGAGAGGTTGAGAACGTTGAGGGGAAAAGACTGGTGGCCTCACCTGGGACCTAAAGGGTAGAGTCCCCGCCCCGTGGTGCAGCAGCGAAGACAGATGCGGAGCCACCTGTCAGAGGGCTGTGGGCGGGAGCGATGGCCGAATAGGGCCACGGAACCAGAGGGTGAGCGCCTTTGAGCGCACGCTCAGAGCAGACAGCTCTCAGGAGGCAGGATGTGATGGTCTAAGACCCTAGAAGCTGACGGCCAGTGGGAGGGAATGGTGGTGACGGAGGCGAGGCAGAGCAACTGGAGGTGAACGACCCTGGAGGTGACAGCAAGGAGAGTACGCGACCTAGAAGGACTGCTGTAGCGCGCCCGGCGACTTGTGCTTGGACGCGGAGCGGACGCGAGAAGAAGGGAGGGCAGCGCGCCGGCGCTGCGGGCTGGCTTCATCGGGGCGGGGGAGTGCCATGTCCCGCGAGCGGCCGCCCCGCACCGACATCCCCCGCAACCTGAGCTTTATCGCGGCGCTGACCGAGCGCGCCTACTACCGCAGCCAGAGACCTAGCCTCGAGGAGGAGGCGGAGGAGGAGCCAAGCCACG